TCATGTGAAGTGAAAACCTGTGGCATGCAACTTATAAGGTATGTGTATATTTTTCTTGAGAGTAACACATCTTACACCTTTTATGTACTGACAATTATTCTGGGCTCATAAAACATCTCAAATTTTAAGGATTTCCTGGAGTTACTTTTATCAATCCAAATATTCTACAGGAAAACATGGTTTTGAAGAATATCTTATTTTCAATGAGAAGTTTTATGAATAGTTGAACATACTCTCAAAAGAATCAATTTATAATACTATATCAAAATGTTGTACGCCAGACGCGAGTTTAGTCTACAAAAGACTTATCAGTGTCACTGTGACGATCGAATAAAAAAGTTAAAAGGCCAAATAAAGTACGAATTTGAATAAAAATTTTGCCGAATACATCTTAAGTAATCTATCTATGGGGTAGAAAATCCTTAGTATTTCGAAAATTTCAAAGTTTATAATGGAACAGTCACTCCAAAAAAAGAGTAAACAGCTAGAGATCATAATTCCTTGTGTAATGATGACCATGCTTTAAAGTCACACATCAAGCTCTTACTGTCGTGTCCTGAATTTGGAAAAGAAATGCGAAAATTCACATTTACGAATGAAATTAATATATATGCATGCACGTGTTTTTCTTGCACAAGAAATAGTAAATGGAAAGCATTCGCCAGTGGCGTAGCTATGCCATTTTTAAGTGTACGCCCGAACCCCGAGTGGTTTGGGGTCCACTAAGCTGATCTAGGGCAGAAGACCTCCTGATAGGGGGCAACCCCCCCCCCCCCCCCCCCCCCGGAAGTTAACGCGTTTTTGAAAGATCCCAATATCTGTCATTAAAAACTCATCAATTAAGAACAAAACTTTACGACAATTTAAGAGATGATTTCGGCTTCCAATTGTGAACTTTTTTTATGTAGCAACAGTCCATCAGCACCTGCATATGGAGTATATACCTCCCAGTTGATAAGATATTCCAGAGCTTGCATTTCCTATCATCATTTCCTTGATAAATGGTTGTTGCTTACAAAGAAGCTACTGAACCAAGAGTTCTAAGTTTTTCCAAGTTGAAATCGTCCCTTCGAAAATTTTACGGTCGACATCACGAGTAGGTTGAACGTTATGGAATATCTGTTTCACAGAATCTTAATGACGACGGATATGTTCCAACTGTTGATATTACCACAATCCCGTCCTCTTTTCCTCGAATGAGACCTACCGAATTAGACTTATCACTGGGTTTGTACTTTCATCAGCAACACGATGGGTGCCACAAGTGGAGCATCATTTGCTTACTCTTCCGAAGCACCTGAGATCACCCCCAGTTTTGGTGGGGTTCGTGTTGCTTAGTCTTTTGTTTCTATGTTATGTTTTGTATATACTGTTGTTTGCCTTTTCGTAGTTTTTCGTTTTCTGCCATGGTATTGTTTGTTTTCAACCGATGAGTTTGGATATCCCTTTGGTATAATGTATCTTTCTCCTCTCTTTTATAGTCTATTTTCTTTTATGTTAAATTTATACATTCATGTGTCATTGTGTCGATTTGGAATCTAATGTTCATTAAAATTTTCAATGTTGTCGTTCTATTCATTTATTTTTACCTTGTCTTATTTACTCACATTTTTACACTCAAATTTCGTTAATGGACACATGTCCTAATTAATTTTCATAGATGGTCAGGTGTAACGTAAAAATAAATATTGAACTGTAACATAAAAAAATGCAAGCCACGTGGTATCTGAGCAGATAATAAAAGGGTGCCCAGTCAACAAATTTGATCGATTTGGGTTAACGGAATATCACACGGCTATATTTTATATCATTGCAAAGAGGAGAACAAGCCTCGTCGAAATATTGATGTCGTCGTTGTATCTTAAATTTGGGTCAAAGGTCAAATCTAAAATTTCAAGGAAAACGTAGAGTCACGTTTAGACAGCTGGCCACCCCTACATATTTGCGTTAATAGCAAAATAAATTCGAACAATTCAAAGGATTATAAGTAAAGTTTCTATATTTAGGACTAATTTGATAATTTTATTGCCAAATATGGTTCGAGATTGACATTTGTACTTATATTATGAAAATAATGGTATTAATTATTTTTGGAGTGTTAAAAATTCTTTAGAGGTTTTAGATAAAATACATGCTTTTGATGGTCGTTTTAATTCTGTTGACAGCTATGATTTTTCTACTCTCTATACTACACTTCCACACATTCTTATCAAGAAAAAGTTTTCATATTTAATTAAATGGTCCTTTGAAAAATCTCATCACAAATCTATTGTCTGTAACTCGTTTAAAGCCTTTTTCTGTAACGAAAAAGGAAAGTATGCTAGGTACACTTACTGGAAATGTGAAGATATGATTGAAGCTTTAAATTTTCTCCTGGACAACATATATGTACGTTTCGGCGATAAAGTGTATCGACAAGTAGTAGGTATTCCTATAGGCACTAACTGTGCCCCTTTAATAGCAGATTTATTCCTGTATTGCTATGAATCTCAGTTTATGACCAAACTCAGTAAAGACACGTCATTGTTACATTTGGTTGATACATTCAACAATACTTTCCGTTATCTAGATGATCTTTTTTCGTTAAATAATCCAGATAAATCCAAATATAGATTTATTTCGTCTTCAAGTCATTGTTCCACTACTAAATTGTCTATTCTACTTACTAGTTCATTTGGTACAATCAAAAACCTGATAATAAATTGTTCAAATAAGGCCTTTGAAAATAGTGGAATTAATTACTTTTGGAGTGTCAAAAACTCGTTGGAAGTACTTGATAAATTGCATGCATATATTGGTGATTTTGAATCGGTTCAAAGTTTTGATTTTTCTACCCTATATACCACTTTGCCTCATATTCTTATTAAGAAAAAATTCATACACCTAATAAAATGGGCATTTAAAAAGTCGGAATGCGAATACATCTGTTCAAACTCTTTTAGGTCATTTTTTTTTAGTAGCAACAAACAAAAGAACTATGTCAATTGGACATGCTTTGATACTATATCTGCCCTTGAATTTTTACTTGATCCGAATTAAGAAACTAAATGGGTCTATCAATACCCACGCTACGTCAATTTTGAAAGACCCAAATGTTGCAAAACATTTGTCCTACCTCCATGACAAATATGTTGTTGTCCCCGCAGATAAAGCCCCAAACAACATCGTTTTTGTGTGTTAATATCGTTACATAAACTGCTTGATAAATGAATTAGGTATTGACAATTTATTTGGAAACTCAACATATACCCTGACGACACTTACCAAAGAGGAAATCCTGGATAATCATAGGTCTGTTCTATGTTCCTTTGGACTTTCAACCAAGGATGAAGAACTGGATCTTCCATCACTGTATTGGATACCTAAACTACATAAGTGTCCTTACAAACAACGGTATATTGCTGGGTCTTCCAAGTGCTCCACGAAACCTCTTTCTAAATTATTAACATCTATTTTATCAGCAATCAAAGCCGGGCTCCAAAGTTATTGTGAAACTGCCTATTCTAGAGGTGGCGTGAATCAGATGTGGATACTAAAAAATTCCAAAGATCTTTTAGAGTACATACAATCTAAGACTCTCTCATCTTGCAATAGTATTAAAACATATGACTTTTCTGCACTTTACACAAGTATTCCCCATTCCAAACTAAAAGACAAATTGAAAGAGTTGGTATTACTTTGTTTCATTAAAAAGAATGGCGAACGTAAATACAAGTATCTTGTCTTGGGGAGGGATAAATCCTACTTTGTAAAGAATCACTCTGATTCACACAAAAAATTCTCTGAAACTGACATTATCAAGATGCTTGATTTCTTTATTGACAACATATTTGTTACGTTTGGAGGACGTGTTTTTCAACAGACTGTCGGAATTCCAATGGGAACCGATTGTGCCCCTCTTCTTTCCGACTTGTTTCTTTATTATTATGAGGCTGACTTCATACAGGAACTTCTTAGGTAGAAAAATAAGAAGTTAGCAATATCCTTTAACTTTACGTTCCGCTATATAGATGATGTTCTCTCACTAAATAATACAAAATTTGGTGACTATGTTGAACGAACAAGAGATAAAGGATACTACAGATACAGTTAAGTCTGCCTCATATCTTGACTAACATCTAGAAATTGACAATGAGGGTCGGTTGAAAAAAAAACTTTACGACAAAAGAGATGATTTCAGCTTCACAATTGTGAACTTTCCATTTCTACGTAGCAACATTCCAGCAGCGCCTGCATATGGAGTATATATCTCCAAATTGATACGATATTCCCGGGCTTGTATTTCCTATCATGATTTCCTTGATAGAGGATTGCTGCTCACAAGGAAGCTATTAAACCAAGAGTTCCAAATGGTGAAGTTGAAATCATCCCTTCGTGAATTTTACGGACACCATCACGAGTTGGTTGACCGTTATGGAATAACCGTTTCACAGATGATAGCGGATATGTTCCTTATGTCGTAACTACAATACCCTTCCCTTTTCACGAATGTGACCTACCGAATTAGACTATTTACCGGATCTGTAATAACATAAGCAACACGACGGGTTCCACATGTGGAGCAGGATCTGCTTACCCTTCCGGAGCACCTGAGATCACCCCCAGGTTTTGGTGGGGTTCGTGTTGCTTAGTCTTTAGTTTTCGATGTTGTGTCATATGTACTATTATTTGTCTGTTTGTCTTTTTATTTTTGGCCATGGCATTGTCAGTTTGTTTTCGATCTATGAGTTTGACTGTCCCTCTGGTATCTCTCGTCCTTCTTTTAAATGTCCGTCTGATGATATTGAAGCCGGGTTCTGTGAAAGTTTTATTAAATTCAAGAAGGTTTAACAACGCTATTGATGTATAAAAAAACTTTAACCACAGGCCGAACCTATTAAAATGTTAACGACGCCAACGACAGAATGTATGATTGATCATGATTGTTATGTCTCGCTTTTGTGACTCGACAAAACCGGAAAATCAGGTGATCCAGTTTATTTTAAATTTATATTGTTTAGACTACTTCCTGTTTGAAAAACTTGCATTCCAAGTGAGAAGGTGACTCACGATTCTATTTCACAACAGACAGGAAAACTGTTATACCTAAGTAATTGAAATCATGGCAGATCCTAGAATCAGACAAATAAAGATAAAAACAGGTGTTGTCAAAAGGTAAAACATAATAAAAGGTCAACACATTGACGATACTCGATAGCGCGCGTAGCAACCGAAATCGGGTTTATTAAAGGTTCATCTTGCAGTGTTTTATATTTATAAGCATGCGTCACCTTCATGTTTTTGTCATATTTTGTAAAATCGTGATTAAGGTTGGTGTGGAACTTTTGGCTAGAATGACTTAAAATGTATTCTTAAGTACAGACAACGTGTGCATTTGGAATAGTTTAAGGCCTATACTATAGCATCATAGCATGACTGCGATAAATAAATTTCAAATGCATTATATTAAAAACTTAACTGGATTTTGCTGTGCTCTTTTTTCGTTTCTTAAGAAGGTGCCAAAACTAAAAGTCCATGGGAAAGAGGTTTGAGAACTTCCCAATACTGGCAATAGGTACGATAATTATTGAAGTGAACTGTATTAATTGACATGGACAATAGAGGAAAAAGAGATATTAAAGTAAAAATTGCATTCTTTTTATATGACCGCAAAAAAAAAAAATTTTTGCTGTCGTATATTGGTATGACGCTGGTGTCGTCGTCCGAAGACATATTGGTTTTCGCACAATAACTTTAGTTTAAGTGAATGGATCTCTATCAAATTTTACCATAAGGTTCAATACCACAAAAGGAAGGTTGGGATTGATTTTGGGGGTTATGGTACCAACAGTTAAGGAATTAGGGGCCAAAAATAAGCATTTTTCTAGTTTCCAGACAATAACTTGTGGAACGGTGTATGGATCTCTCTGAAATTATACAAGTTTCCATACCACAAAGGGATGGTTGGGATTTGCTTTGGGGGGTTATGGCTCAACCGTTTAGGAATTAGGGGCAAAAAAGGGGGAAAAACAAGGGTGTCCTGGTTAATGGACAAATACTTTAGTACAAAACATAATTTAAAGCAGTGTAAGGGAGGTAATTCAAATACATCATTTGAATTACCTCCCTTACACTGCTTTTAAATTATGTATAAAGTAATGGTTAATGAACAATTAAGGTAGATGGGGTGTCTAAATTATAATCCATAGAATCTTTTAATAATTTGCCAAAATGTAGTTTATATCATGCTTTTTTGAAAAAATAATAAAAAGAATGGGTCACTGGGCTTATTTTCACGCTACAGGTTGTGCAAAATTGACAGATTTTGTATAGATTATGCATGGAAAACGCAATTTTCTGCCATAAAACGAAAACTACACCATACATATTTGAGATAAAATATGAGAAGATAGCTCTAATATTATACTTTCAGATAAGAGAAAGAAAAAATGGGGTCACCGGGTCCGTTTTCTTGCTACATAATAAAATAGATAAATTCCTAACACATTCTATTGTAAAAGTAACTTTATCTGAATTATCTGCCCTTACATTTGAGTTGCCTCCCCTTATGTGGCAAAGTTGGAAAAAATTGAATCAAACAAAAGTATTCTGTTTTTTGTAAAATACAACCATAAATATAATAAAACATGTCATTTTCTATATTAGAATGAAAATTCTTACACATGAATTACCTACTTCTCTCAAAATTTGCACATTTTATTAAAGGTCTAGACCGATTATTTTCTGGTATTTCAAAATCCAAGATGGAGGAAGACACCCTATCTACCTTAAGACAATTTAAAAGCAGTGTAAGGGAGGTAATCCAAATACAACGTTTTGATTACCTCCCTTACACTGCTTTTAAATGATGTTTAAAGAAATGCATATTTATTAAGGAAGACCAGTAAAAATATCTGCAAATGTTGCATCTTTTACAAAATTAAAAAATCCATATGAAAGATTTGACACCATATTTTAAATTCTATTATAAAATAGATTAAGTTAGCACTATGGTAAATTTAAATGGGTAATTATGGTTGCAAACTCCATTGGAAATTTGAATTGAGATTAGGACCATATCTTGAGGGAAAAAAAAATTTTTTGGGAAAAAGGGGGGGGGGGGGGGGTAAAAAGAAATTGTGGGGGGTCAAATTTTTCTCATTTCAGATTTCAGAAAGTAAAAAGAAAAATTCTTCAAATATTATTTTTTTTGCGAATAAAAAGTGTGTGTGTTGGGAGGGGGGGGGGGGGGTCAATACGCAACAGCATAGTGTATTGCACAAAAGCAAAAAATTGAATATAAATTCAAATCATATACCCAATTCTAAGTTTTTTGACTACAGTTATTCTGTGTCAGAAATCATTTATGTGTCAAATATTTAATTACAATCCAAATTCAGACCTGTATCAAGGGCGAATATTGTGTCCATTTTTGCCCCAACTGTTCAGGGTTGGACCTCTGCTCTTTGAAGCAATTTATTCATTCTGATTTCATAAACACCATAATGATTCCGATGTGAAAATTGTATTTTGTATACCGGTATCTCTATCCAAAATTTAAATGAAATTTAACAACCTTCACCAGACAGTCAGGGGTTCTACTTGTACAAGTAGTTTTTATTTACTTGAAGAAGTAATATTAATATACTTATATAAGTAAATTTGTAGGATACTTCTACAAGTGTATTTTATTTACTTGTATTGGCTTAGTTATTTCCCTTAGACATTCAGATTTTTTTACTAATATAAGTGAAAAAGTCATCCTATCTTCTTTTCTTGAATTCTTAGGACTTCTTTGCTCTAATAGAATTTTAAATTGTCTGTCCTTTGCAGATGTCATAACTAATCATTTAAGTGTAATTTCATGGACAATGAAAATCTCATTTGTCTGTTATCTTCAGAACACTGCTTATTTACAAGCCTCCAAGGAGCAATTTTTGATGGCCTTGCGCAAATATTTAGGATCTTTGTGCAATCAGTTTTTTTTTTGAATTAATGAGATGAAACATTGAACTCTAATAAAAAATTATGAGCTTACCTGGGAAAAATCATTAAAGGCATGTTTTTACATCTCAAAACCTTTATGGGATTGTAAAAAAAATTTACTTTTACAATTGAATTTTTGAGAAAATTAAGGGGAGATTATTTAAACATTATAATTAACTCATGTAAGTATATTTTTTTTACTTCTTCAAGTAAATAAAGATTACTTGTACAAGTAGTACCCCTGATTGTCAGATGTTTCTTTCAAAATCATTTGATAACCAGTGTTGTTTGGTGTAATCAGTACATGTATTTTTCATAATTTCTGTATTGAGACACGCATGTGTCCAAAACATTCTTTACTTGTAGATTATACATTGAGAAGACTGAAAAAAATATAATAGACCAGAGTGTTGCATTTTTTAACATGATTAATGCTCATTTTGGAATAAGATTTATTAACAAAAATTAAAAGTCTGAAGAAGTTTTACCGTAATATTAATGTGTTATATGCAGTAAATTATGTCTTGTTAATAGTGTAAAGCTAAATGATTAAAAACGTATTTTCAGACTGACAAAAGAGAAACTTTCCTATGAAAAAGAGTCAGAGCAGCAGGAAGCAAAAATAGAGAAAATGAAGACAGAAGGAAAGGATGAATATGATATAAAGAAACAGGTACTCACATTATCAGTTTATTCAGAGTACGGATATTGTGTTATTAAAATTTACTGGTTATAAGTTTTGGAAATTATTTTAGATTAAAAAATATATCTCCCTTATGCAAACCCCTGATTTCTTGCCCAGCTTTATCTATACTTTTTGTCCCTTTTGGTTGTTAAGCTCTTCATCTTTTTAATAAGTTTTGGACTTTCACATGTATTTTGGCTTAGAGCATCACTGAAGAGACATTTATTGTTGAAATGGGCATCTGTTGCAGAAAAATTGGTACTGTTGATGTTAAAAATATTATTATGACTCAAAACATTTGAGTAATTTTACAGGTCATGTATGATTTGATGTTGTATTTGACCCAACAACAGCCACCCCAGAAAAAAACAAGCTTTTTCATAGTTTATTTTACAAAATACTTTATGAAGTGTTTTTCTGCATTATGAAATTTCATTCTATTCCAGTTAGTTGTCTAATTATATTATGTAAATTTTTGTATCGACAACTTTTTATTTAGCCATTGCAGGTAGCCATACATATGTCATATGATAAGTTATAACATAACTGATAAAAATGTAATCATAGATTACATATATATAACAAATAATCTCAATTCATGAAATAGTTATTGGTAAATAAATAAACATATCGAATGAAAGTCAAAATACTATCAATCAATGAGTTACAAAGGCAATAAGGATTTGCTTCTAGGGGTCATGTACGGCCCCTATTAAATAACATGTCAGAAAAATCACAGCAGAAGTACTTGTCAGAAACCAATTATAGTATAGAATTCCCATTTTTATGTTGGTAAAGTTTTTGTTGTAATTTTTGACAAACAAACCGTGTTAAAAAACAGAGAATATAACACTCAGATATTATTGTAGGTAGAAGTCCTAGGAGAGTGTAAACAAATGATTCCAGACTCCTTGAAAAGACTGAAAGTAGCCCATGAAGAATTAACTAAATTATTGGTAAGTATGCTGTGAATTGGGAAAAACTGATCTGGTTTCGGCAACTTTCTTGTGGTGTATTTATTTTACTTTTAGTTGATCTTAAATATGTTTTGCATTCATTTAAATTATTCGTTTTTATTTAATTTTTAACAAATTAAAGTAGCTATTTAATTGTGATAAATAATTTAAAGCTAAACATCATGATTGGTTTAGAAAAATAGGATTTCCTGAGATCCTGGTTAACTACTGACATACAGCAGAGATTTGGCCAGGAACCCAGGCTACTGCAAGAATATATAAATATGCTCAAACAGCTTTTAGGTGGTACTGTAAAGGTAGAAACTGCCTTCAAACTTACACAAAAACAAGATTGAGAACCACTTACCCCACTAAACACCTGAGTGGTGAACTTAGGTGTTCCAGAAGGGAAAGCTGTTCCTGCGGCACTTGTTGCATCTATTTTATTACTGATAATTGCCATAAGAGACAGGATTTGGGCTAGAAGTAGAACATATCCATGGTTGTTTATGTCAGATGCAAATATTTAATAAAACTGTCAACAAAATCGTGATTGCCTTCATAAAACTTTGGTATGGATTTAAATTTTGCCATTAGGAACCAAAACCTTTGGCTCAATGCCTCTCTTGTAATAAGCAAACCCTCATTAAAGGAAATCCTGATAGGAAATAAAATTTGTGGAATATAGTATCAACTATGAGATATACATTCCATATGCAGGCACTGCTTGTATGTTACCATACAGAAATGGAAAGTTCACAATAGGAAAATTGAAGTGAACTCTTATGTCATAAAGTTAAGTTCTCAACTAACCCTAATTGTCTATTTCTAGATGTAAGTCAGAATATTGTATCCTTAATTTGAAGTTCATTAGAAAAGAGTCTATCAAAATATTCACCAAATTTTAATTATTCAGTGAAAGGACTTTTCTTTATATATTTTCTTTAACTTTAAAACTTATAAAGGTTATACATGTATTGTGGCATAAACTTTTTCCTCAGATTTCATATTCATAATCCTTTATTCTGTATTGCAGGAAAAAGAAGAAGATTTAAAGGAAGCTGAGGAATACAAAGCTGCTGAGACAAGTTTGAAAGAAGCTAATGCTGTAATGGGATAGATGTTATTTATAATTTGTAGTTATGGTACACAATGCATATTTTTGTTATCACAGGATCTGATCCTAAGGTTATATTCCTTGCACCTTTCATCCATTAGTAAGAAGTAGAATTCATAAGTCACTAGAATCCATATTCATTTCTTCTTAGTGACTACTGCAATATAAACGACAATGGTTCTGCATTAATTTTTGAATAATGCCGAATTTTTTCTTGAATCGTTAATGAATCATAACAAGAATGTGACTTTGGATTTAATGTTATCCCATCATCATTTTTTTTTTAATTTTATTTGATATATTACATTTCAATTTGAATTATTTATTGATTTTATGTTTGTGTCTTATGGTATTTGGACCCCAGGTTAACTTTTCAGGGGGTTTAAAATAGCACATGACATCGGAAATTGTTTCTTTTTTCTTCTTTTTTTTTAGATAAATGTTATTCAATTCATCTTTATTTTTTCAGAAATTCTTTCCTAAATTTTGCTTTACTTCCTACAATAGCACTTATTGAGAAACACAAAATCCTACATTTAAAAAAGCTCTGAATTCCATATCAAAATATACATGCGAGCATGTTTGTATAGATTTTTTGAAAATTAGAAAGCTTGAATGAAAATGGTATGAGGGATGTTTATGTATGTTTGATACAGAATTGTGATCTATTATGGGTTTGGAACAAAAGAGATGTTGTGCTATTGATTTAAATGGTTGATAGAACTGTGCTTTTTTATATATATATTTCATGCAGTTGTATTGTGAACTTAGAAATAAAATAAATTTCCATTATGACTTGACTGTTTGAATCAGTTCAAAATATCATGATAGGTTATAAGCTTTAAATAATTGTGAGGGTAATAAATGAGTTTTCCAAGTATTGATGAGACTGTATTGGAATATTCCTCAAGGTGTTCCCCTCTGGGGGTACGGTACATCCACAAAATAAAGAAGTATGCCTTTCAGTCATATTGTTATACTGCAATGCTTTTACTATTTTATACGACACTCAGTTACTGTTATACATCACCATTCCTGAATCTCTAAGTTTGCCAGATAACTGATTGATTGATTGTTGGTTGCTTAACATTCAGTGGCAAATATTTCATGCATGTTCAGGATGAACCAGATAACATATTATATCAATTGAATACTTAAGTACTGTTTCAATTCTTTAATGGAGTTTGATTTAGATTGGAATTTTCTATGGTGAAGAAAAGTTCTGGTGATTGCATTAAAATTTATCTTTAACTCTGGTTAAAATAGACATAGACAGCTACATTCCTTAAATGGAGGCTCCAAGGAGCATGAATTGCTCATCTTCAATTTTGCATAAATTTGATACAATGCAATGAGACTATTTCAAATAGTTTCCAGCATTAAAAAGAATAAGGAGTTGACTGATGATTTCAGTCAGGTTGACTGATTTGTGAATCTGGTCTTGCTCATAATTATCATACCCCCGCTTTAAAAAAGTGGGGGTATACTATTTTACCTCTATCTGTCAGTCCATCCGTCAGTCCATCCGTCTGTCCGTCCCATGACTATTTTCGTCGCATCTTTCTCAGGAACTACATTTAATACAAAGATTTCTGAAATTTGGTTTCAGGGTTTATATAAGTCAGCTATACTGTGTGATGCTTTTTCAGATTCATCACTCAACAACTTCCTGTTTACCGAACACTTGTATCATTTTACACATGATAGTCAAGTTGAAAATTTTCGTCACATTTTTCTCAGGAACTACAATACAAGGATTTCTTAAATTTGGTTTCAGGATTTATATAAGTCAGCTCAATTGTGTGATGCTTTTTCAGATTCATCACTCAACAACTCCCTGTTAACCGAACACTTGTATCATTTTACACATGATAGTCAAGTTGAAAATTTTCGTCACATTTTTCTCAGGAACTACAATACAAAGATTTCTGAAATTTGATTTCAGGGTTTATATAAGTCAGCTATACTGTGTGATGTGTTTTCAGATTCATCACTCAACAACTTCCTGTTTACCGAACACTTGTTATCATTTTACACATGATAGCCAAGTTAAAATTTTTCGTCACATTTTTCTTAGGATCTACAATACAAGGATTTCTGAAATTTGGTTTCAGGGTTTATATAAGTCAGCTATACAATGTGATGCGTTTTCAATTTCATCACTCAACAACTTCCTGTTTACTGAACACTTCTATCATTTTACACATGATAGCCAAGTTGAAAATTTTCGTCACATTTTTCTCAGGAACTACAATACAAGGATTTCTGAAATTTGGCTTCAGGGTTTATATAAGTCATCTATACCGTGTGATGCGTGTTCAGATTCATCACTCAACAACTTCCTGTTTACCGAAATATTTGGGCGGCAGTATCATCAGTGAGCAGTAGCTCGCAGTTTCACTTGTTTTTGCTGTTTTAGTTTCTCACCATCTACTTTAGTTTTCACAATAAACACAAAGTTGTTAAAAATCATTATTCAAGTAAACTGACAATTTCTGACATGCTTGGTCTTATAGTTGAGATAGTCCTGCTGGTCATTTGTGCCTTATACAGTTTTTTATCTAAACACAAAAAAGGTAAAAGGGGTCTTCTAAGGGCGATAACTCCTATAAAGGGTTGAATTGGATTCAGCCATGTTGACTAAGTACCAGTAGGTCTTTTCCTGCTGATAATTTTTGCTGTTTACAGTTTATATTATCTACTTTAGTTTCTGAAAAAAACACAAACAATAGAAAACAATAGTCGTTCAAGGGCAAATACTCCTACATGACAATTTCAGTCATGTTGACACATAGCAGATCTTGAATTGCTAATCATTTTTGCTATTTACGTTTTTATATCCATCGGCCATAATTTCCCCCAAAAAAACACAAAAATAGGTAAAGTTTCTTTCAAGGGCAATAACTCCTATCTGTGGTAGACTCTGGATTTTGGACATGTTGACTAATTTGTAGATCTTGTCCTGCTGATCTTTTTTTGCGGTTTACAATTTGTATCTATCTATTAATGTATGTGCAAAAACACACAAAAAATGGGTAAAAATAAACTGTTGACAGAGATATGTCTTACCTCTTTGTAATTTTGAAAGTAAAATGCCAATGTTGAAATTAAAATAGCAATACTTTAACATGTAAAATATTCAGTCAATGAACCATGACTGAAGGTACAGGGCCAAATAATTTCCCTTTAAATAAGATATGACAATGCTAATTCAACTACCTACCAAATATCATTGATTTATTAAAGTGCTTCCCCTTAAAAATAACCTAATCACAAACTCTGACATGTTAACTATGCAAAAGTTTCAAGGTCAATAACTGAAGGGACAGGAACAAATAATCTCCATGGAAATGAGATGTTCCGATGCTAATACAACTATGTACCAAATATCATTGACTTACCATAAGTGGTTTCCCTTAAACTGACCTTATCACAAACTTTGACATGTTAACCATGCAAAGGTTGCAAGGTCAATAGATCATGACTGAGAGGAAGGGACCAAATAATCGCCATGGAGATGAGATGTGCCAATGCTTATATAACTGTATACCAAATATCAGACTTCATAAGTGGTTCCCTTAAATTCACCTAATCACAAACTTTTACACGAAAACTATGCAAAAGTTTCAATGACTGTGGGTGTGTGGCCAAATAATCTCCATGGAAATGAGATGTGCCAATGCTTATACAACTGCATACCAAGTATCACTGATTTACCTCTAGTGGTTCCCATAAACTGACCTAATCACAAACTTTAACAAATTAATGACAATGCCCCATTGTAAACAGTATACCTAAGCTTTCCGACTCCATCAAGGCAACAAAAATTGTATTTCAAGAGCAATAAATGCTGTAAGGTGTCAACTAACAATTTCAGTCAATTTGACTTCTTTGTAGATCCAGTCCTCCTGACCATTTTTGCAACTTACAATATTCCTCTACTTACAGTTTAAAAGATATAAGCAAACAAGAATGTGTCCATAGTACATGAATGCCCCACTCACACTATCATTTTCTATGATCAGTGGACCGTGAAATTGGGGACAAAACTCTAATTTGGCATTAAAATTAAAAAGATCATATCATAAGGAACATCTGTACTAAGTTTCAAGTTGATTGGACTTCAACTTCAGCAATAAAATGCTCCGCTGGGCGCAGCTTGATACGATCGCAGAGGTCGAACCCTGGACAGTTGGGGCAAGTATGGACACAACATTCAAGCTTAATACAGCACTGCATTTGGATTGTGATTAAATATTTGACACAGCATAGTTTTTTGACACAGAATGAATGTGGTCTAAGAACTTAAAATTTTTTAATTTACCTATTCAAACCATATCATTATTATTTGCTTTTATATACAAATCAGAAATAACCAATTTATAATGGAAAATTTTGAAGGAAAAAAAATCCCTCCCCCAAATTTTTGGAACCCCCTTATGATTCATCACCACCCACCCCCCCCCCCCCCCCCCCCCCCCCACCCCCAACTAAATCCCAGCCTTCCCTTCGTGGTATGGTACCTTGCAGTACAATTTCAGAGAGATCCATACACTTATAATGGAAAATTTTGAAGGAAAAAAAATCCCTCCCCCAAATTTTTGGAACCCCCTTATGATTCAATTTTTTTGCGGTCATATAAAAACTACCTTGACCAAAAACTTTAACCTGCCCACTCCACTATCATTTTCTATGTTTAGTGGACCGTGAAATTGGGCTAAAAAAACTAATTTGGCATTAAAATTAGAAAGATCATATCATAGGGAACATGTGCATGTGTACTAAGTTTCAAGTTGATTGGACTTCAACTTCATCAAAAACTTACTTGACCAAAAACTTTAACCTGAAGCGGGACAGATGAATGGACAAACGAACAGACGCATAGACTGAAAAACATAATGCCCATAGGTGGGGCATAAAAAAGGGATAAAAAATATCATAGGCAGCAACTATAAAATATCTACAATTTAAAATATTTTGATCAAATTTATTGTGTCAAGGATATATATATATATATGATCACATAATTTACAAAATCAACAAAATTTTCATAGTGTAAAAATACCTATCTCAAATATAGGCAATCATATTACCCTGCTCATCGTATCAAATGAACAATGTTTCAACACTTGAACAACATTTAAAACTCTGCCACATTTATCACATACATGCAAATTACACCAACAAAGCCTTTTATAAATTGAGTAACATTTAACATTCTCACAAAATATGAATTATGATCAATAACATTCCATAATTATGTCTATATATGCAATTTCTTTCCAAACTTGCACAAATAGTATGAAAACCGTTTACTGTATAAGCCTATAAAATGAATAATTGCTATGTAGTTAACTGTATAAACCTTTTAAATAATAAATGGAGAATGTGTCCCCATGGACACAGATGATGCCCCCGCTTGCATACAACATTATAAAGGGACATAACTCATGAACGATAAAAGTGATGCTACCCAAGTTTGTACTTGATCTAAGTTTTGTGGTAATGAGTATTGTGTATAAGTTTCATAACACTTGGTTGAGGCAAACTTGAAGTTAGAAAATGGAAACCAAAAATTCAGCAATTTTTTCGATTTAGAAAGGGGCATAACTTGATAATGGTTAAGGTTACAATACACCATTAGATTTTATGGGCGCAGCCATTTTATGAGCATAACATGGTATTCAGAATTAAGAGTATAGCTAATCCTGATTGGTTGATATGTGCGCCCGTTATTTTTTGTTATTAGAGACTTCGTGCATTCTGCATTATACCAAAGGCCAAATAAATTATTTTCCTTAGCCCTAACGGAACTGAGATATCTTGTAAACGCTAGGATGAGACACGTATTTTTAAGTGCAAAATTGATAGGCATGGGAGATAAGTACAAATTACGCTAAGAAAAGCAACATGAACCTATATTTTTTGGACCAAAAAATACTGTCCTAATAACTTTTCTTTAATTCTAGCAAGGTTTTGTTAAAAAAATCAACTTTCTGAAGTCTGTATCTCGAAAAAGGCTATCATTGTCGCCTATGGGGAAATTAATTGTTTATTTCAATCGTAAAGTGACGCCACCAAAATTCAACATGATCTGTGTTTTGTTGTAATAAGCATTGTGTATAAGTTTCATAACATTTGGTTGAAGCAACTTAAGTTAGAGAAAGGAAACTAAAAATTTTGCATTTTTTTCCATTTATAAAGGGGCATAACTCGAGAACGTTTAAAGTGACCCCACCAAAATTCAAATTTAATCTGTGTTTTGTGGTAATAAGCATTATGTATAAGTTTCATATCATTTGGTTGAGGCAAACTTAAGTTAGAGAACGGAAACTAAAAATTTTGTAATTTTTCCATTTATAAAGGGGCATAACTCTAGAATGGTTAGAGTGACGCTACCAAAATTCAAACTTGATCTGTATTTTGTGGTAATAAGCATTGTGTATAAGTAAAAGTTTTGAGACATACGGACAGACATACGTACATACGTACAGACTGACAAGGGTAAATCTTAAAAATAAATGCATGTTCATTGTATTATTGCACATATACAACTAACATGCACAGAAATTTACAGCAATATCTTTAAACTAAATTTAAATGACAGAGCTTTGCAAATATTTTCAACAAACAAAATCAATGTTCTATAAATGCTGGATTTACATGATTTCAAACAAATACTGACAGTTTCACAACAATAGACTGAACAGTCACAAAAATAAATCTTTGATCAATACTTCATGCTGATTTCTTTTTTCTTCCAACACCTATTACTTTTTTCCTCTGACTATACATGTAATTCAACAACTGGTAGCCTCCTGAAATTAAATTTAAATATATATAGAAAGATGTCTGTGTAATAGTTAACTCACAGGTATTCTATCCATGTTAATCATATTGAACCAAAGAACCCCCTGCTTTAAGTATTCCATAAACAAAATTTTGATAAGCAATGGATGTGAAAATACATCACAAGGTATAGCATGCTCATGTGAAACTTGATTCAAAATTTTAGAAAGCTCTGATTTGTAGTTTCTGAGAAAAATTTCATACATTGCCATTATGTGTAAGAAAACATAGGTACTGTATATTCAGAAATTATTGTGTGCATTTATTATTGCAATTTTTTACGAAAGGACAGAAATGCGAGATTAATTATTGTGATTTCAGGAAAATCTTCATACAGATATATGTATCATATATCAGAATGTGAGTTCTTATTATTGAATTACTCATCCATTCACATTATTCGCATTAATAAAAACCTTGCAATAATTTCTGAATTTACAGTAACAGAAAGTTGATAAGTGCTGAATGTAAAAAAGTCATTCCCAATTTCCATTATCAATTCTATCACACAGTATAGGATGCTCACATGAAGCTTACTACCAAATTGATATGCAGTTTCTGAGAAAAATAATAATTTCATGGGACTGAAAGACGGAAATAAACCAGTATATCCTTTTACAGCAGGTGTATAAAAAAAGAACTTTCTTTTTTGTCCCCTGCTCAATGTATTGTGGGTGACATAGAAATACTGAGCGTATTGTCCATCTTTGTCCCCCATAGGTCAACTATATTTGGTAAAATTGAGAATGGAAATTGGTGTATGGAATGATTGAAAGGTGTACATGTCCCTCTAGCAGGTATCATCTGACCTTGACCTAACTTTCATTGTTCATTGGTCAATGTTAAGTTTTCCTTGTTTTGTCTGTTTCTCAGATACTAGAAGCAACAGGTCAACTATATTTAGTGTATAGAATGATTTTAAGGTGAACATATCTGTCTGACATGGTTCATCAGACATTTACCTCATTTTGATGGTTTGTTAATCAACGCTAAGTTTTGGTGGATCAGCCTATTTCTAGGATACTATAAGCAGTAGGTCAACCACATATAATGTATGGAATGATTGTAAGGTAAACATGACTGTCTGGCAGGATTCATCTGACCTTGATCCCACTCATCTGGATTATTGATAATGTTTATGTGAATTCAAAAATTATTTCAATTTTTATGTTATTGCGAAAAATTCGACAGGGTTATAATCGCAATAATTTAAACTCGCATTTTGAAACTTTTTATATGGATTAAACTGGATTTTTCTCAATATTGCAAAAATTAAAATCGCATTTTAGTCTAAAATGACAAAATCGCAATAATAAATGCACGCAATAATTTCTGAATTTACAGTACTTGCAGTAAAACCTTTATCTTGAAGACTTTCAACATAAAATCAGTTGTGATCAGTAAAGCAGGTGACACATTTTAATGTGTGCACTCAGTGTTCATACATTACCCCAAAATGTTGTTTACGCTATTATTCATTGAAATATTAATAACTGTTTAATGTTATATGACCAATTGAAAAACTGATATCTTTTAAATAATGTACTTACCAAATAAAAGAAGGAAGAGGTATGCATGTAGTAAATATGGGAAATAGAATGCCATGTTAGCAGAGTTAGGCAATTGTAATGTAAACATCTCTGTATCTTCATATAAAGGTATCGCCATTATACCAACTGTACCTGTAAACAAAAACAAATAGCATGATATACAAGAATACTAAACTTGATACAATGTCTCCTGCGATTCATTACTGTCTTCAGTCTATTCTTCTATAAAGATTATTGCCATTATGCTAAAGGCCATATGGTGACCTATTGATAACTTTTACGTCATTTGGTCTATGGTGGTCAGTTGTCTCATTGGCAATCATACCACATCTTCTTATTTTTATATTAACCCCACTACATTCTTAACATGCCTGTCCCAAGCTTGTAAGTCAATTGTCTATCGCAACTATATTTCCTTTAGTGTTTATCAAGCTGGATTTTTTTTTAATTGTTTACATTTTGTTATCCCAGGGCCTTTTATAGATTACTATATATAGTATGATTCTGTAGTTTTTTAAATCTTCAAACTTTTGTCATTGGTAGCCATGCCACATCTTCTTATCTTTATACTTTCTGTTTTATGGAAGAAAAAAAAATTCTGTCAGTGTAAAAATGTATAAAAAGTAGAATATATAGTTTCTATAAAGCTGCTATACCAACTGTATATTTGAGTATTTGAGCCTGGAAAAATATAAAACTTAAAATGTAAATTTCAGAAATGTTTGCATGCTTTGATTATTGCATTGTTGAACAATTGACAAAAATGCTAGATTAATTATTGCAATTTTAAGGGAGCAACCATTTAACTTCAAGGGTGGGGTTATGGTTTTTTGTCTGAGTCAGAATTTTTTTTTTTTTAGTTTTTCGACGCTATCAATCAAATTATTTTTTTCAAAATTTAACACTAAAAGGTATGGTGAAAATCTGGATTCAGAATAATTTTTTTTTGTCATCTGCTTGACCACAATATTTTTTTTCATCAAATTGGGGATCAGAATATTTTTTCAGGAAAAAACCATAACCCTTCCCTTGAAGTTAAATGGTCGTTCCCTAATTATTGCAATTTCTGGAAATGCTGCATACAAATAAAGCTACCAAAATAAGAAAATGCAATAATAAAATCATCATAAAAATTTCTGAATTAACATATAAAAAATACCTTCCAGTAATATTCCTAAAGGGTAGAGAGGAATCCATGCTGTGTATCTCAGCCATGTTATAAAACCAATCTTTTTACCTAATGTTGACAACATATAAAATGGATATCTGAAAAATAACAAAATAAAGTCAATAATTTGCCAGTCTTCCAAGGAAGAGTCGTGTCACCTGCCATTTCAAAATGATATAAGAAGAGATGGTGAGGACCATGTTTTGGTTTGGGAAACCAAAAGGATCACTCAAGACTAAAACTTTGAATAGCAGGTGCACAACTTTGTGTCCTGTAAAAGAATCTATACTTATCTAGTAGAATTCTGTAAAGCTTTTATCGGAGTTGCAGATTAATGCAAAGTGTGACACATACTACAACGCTACCGGTATACAATAAACTTGTCTGCTGCATGTCTCTGCAGATTCACTGTCAGGCCTATACAAAAATTTCAGCCATATTGCTCAACCTATAATAATAATTTGAAGAGCTGTTTATAATAATAACTTTATCTAATTTACAACTTGTATTTGGAAACCGGTTACAATAATCACAACTGTTCTGGGTATAAATCGGTAATTCTGACAATAAAGCTATGGTTTATCATCAGACCTTGCGATAATAAAAGTTTCGAGCATGATTATTGTACTCAGACTCAGAAATCAACCAGTCAAAATACTGGATTTGGTGTTTCGAGCACAAATTTTGTACTTTGAGTTCGAGTTATGTTTTATGATCGAAAGGCCTGGCCTTGAGGTAATAAAAGTTTTCAGCATGATTATTGTATTCAGACTCAGAAATCAACCAGTCAAAATACTGGATTTGGTGTTTCGAGCACAAATTTTGTACTCCGAGTACTGAGTAAAATTTTATGACCGAGGGCCCTTAACCAATGCTTGCATGATGACACACTACTTTTCAGTAATTCTTAAATCAATATAAATACATTATTTCTGGAGTTTCATTAAATCCTGACCTTCTGACTCTGATAATTTTCAGGAAGGAAACCATGAGCAGACATTTTTGTTTTGCCTAAGTCCATCAAAATAGCACTATTTCTGTTTCATATCTTTAAAATTTGAAATAGTTTGGTTTGACAACAATTTCATATGAGATAAATTCTGACTAAATATTTGCTTTCTGACAGAAACACTTTTTTATTTGCTTCAATGTATTAGGTTATTTTTTTTTCCATTTCATCCTTACCTGAAACATTCAATGGCACTCCAGACAAAAAATAGACAGAACACAGCTGGTGCTGTATGTAACCTTGGCTCGTGATAAAGTATTACAAATAAACTAAAATTTCTCCCCAACACCTAAAAATATAAAGTATATATTTAACACATGCAATATTTGGAACAGTTATTGTATATTCTAGATCATTTGAATTAATGGTCCATTGAGTGGCCTATTGTGCCTAAAAATCGAGTTAGTACAAAATCATTTAATTTTTGTGTCAGAATAATTGAAGGTCTGTGCAAAGTTAAACAAAAAAATTTTCAAATATTTACAAAGATTTTAAGGCTGAAAAATGCTTCATTTAATTTTCCTTCATCATAAAATGACAACAAATGTATAAACACTAGTAGGAAAAATCAAGAAGTCAATACAGTATTTATAAGAGAAGTGGTCTTCATATAGACAAAGACATTCATAAACCATATATACCAGTACATATACATGTTTTTTTGTTTGGAAGATATACTTTTTCTTCTCATTCTCATTTTGATGAAGAACTACTTTTACGGTTCCCAGGAAAAGATCTTCTTTCTCAGTAAACCCCCAAAGGTATTTCAACAGACATGTTGCACTAGTTTTAACAATGCCCAGCAGAGGATGATCATACCTGTAAAAAGGGAGCTATAGCACTGGTTTTGACAATACCCAGCAGAGGATGAACAATTTCCATGACAGCTACAGCTTGTACTACCATTAACTGTGTTCCCACTGTCTCAAATCCAGTCTTCAGTGCAGCTATATATATATAACCATTTCATTTAGGAACATGTTTTGATAATAATGTTTCAGACTATCATATAATATATATCAACTTGAACCTAAAACTCAACCAAGGTCAATGAAACGTGAATGTATGTCACAGTTAACTCCTTCTGAATGCTGACTACTCTCCAAAATGCTTATCTACATCACTTTAGGTTCTTTAAGTTTAGATGTTGCTTAATATACTAATTAATTAGTCAATGGTGTATGAAATGTAGGTCTAAGTGACTTACTCTTGCTAGATGCTGACCCACTTCTCAAAATGCATACTTTATAAGTTTGGATCAACCTTTTATTTTAGCTACAGAGATATGAACTAAACCATCATCAACCTGGATGCAAACCTTCACAAAATCAATGAACCTTAAAATATTGGTCACATGCCCTTCTTCTTGCAATACAAAGTTGAACATCTCATATGTACCCACATACAAAAATACAAGATTTTTGGTTATTTGTTACTGAAATGTGGGTGTGCACACAATCATGGAAGCAGAAGGAACTCTTAAAGTTTTTCATAAACTTTATTGAAACAAACTAATTATTGATAGTGAATATTCCAACTCTGTCTTTTCAGCTACCAGCTTCAATACTAAATAAACAACTTTTCTGGATTTTCAGGAAAATGTGAGGCTCATACTAAATAATATATTGTCTTGATCGTGCAGGTTTTTATTACATTAGCATATAAGCTCTTACAAGCAAAACTGTTTCTGCATTTTACAAATGCATTTTGTATGCAAATTTGAAAATTCAATTCTCCAAACCTCAGAAAATTCTAGAATTTTGATGTCCCTTTATACAGTCAAATTTAAACTGGCAGAAAGAGAATAGTACATGGATTTGTAAAATAATAAATTCCTCTTTATGTAAAACACAGGACTTACTCCCTTTCAATTAAATGTCTTAAATAAGTAAAATAAAAAATGATAACTTAAACATTGATTTCAATTTTACAAAATAAAGAAACTGTTCTGTGCCAAAAATAATATAAGTTGAAATTGTCAGATTGTTCATATTGATTTTATGTTTGGTTAAACAGCTTTTGAAAAGGGGGCTGCACATCAACAATTTCGCATTTTCTACATCCTTGGCTTTGAGCATTCCTGATGAAGGTAAATCCAGAAAAGCGCTTCGGACGAATGAAATTTATAACGTGCTGTTTTCATTTCTACCAATCTATCTATTATTATATAAAAGCCCACACAATAGAAAAAGTATTTTTCTGAAAATTAATAAAAATACATGATGTAAAGTTGGCTATCGTATTTTCTTTTCTTTTCTTTAAATAATTGATTAATGTTTTAATAACAACCACATGGTCTACACAGTATTTTAATATAAGTTACTTACCCTCACCAAGCCTTGTGTACTTGATTATCAAGGCAACAGTTATATATGTGAACCCAACGAACTGGAACAAATTATACAAGAAAAGGTAGCCTATTTTAAAATCTGGAACATCTAAAAATTATAAATAAAACATATTAATTTGACTATTTCAAAATAATGAAAAAAATATTTGCATACAAATTATCATAAAAAATCTATATAAAGTCTAGAAAAGACTTAATAAAAACTTACCACACATTATTTTTTTTTCAATATGGTTTTATATGAAATGTACAGTAAAAACTACTTATGACAAGACTGCATGTAGAATTATAAGTTACCTGATTCTATTGACTTCAATTCCTTTTCTAACTGTTTCATCATTTCCTCTTCATTGCTTATCTGAAAGAAATATTAAAATAATACAGATATTGGATATTATTAAAAAGAGATGTGTTATATACATATATGAGGAAATAACCACATGACACAAAAATTTTTAAAAAAGACACTTGGAGAATTTATTCAGATATGGTTGAACTTTCAAAAGATTTATCATCCATATAAGCACACTACAAAATGAAAGGTTCAAAATCAGATTTTGACCTTTTAAAGTAAACTATTAACCTTCCTGAAAAGGGTTCCATTTTGTTTAAAATTTTCTGTTGTAGAAAGATATAATGTAATGAGGGGCTGAATTTCATCATTCTAAAATTGGCACTTTATTGTAATATGCTCAACAAATTGAAATAATTCAATGACATGGTGTATAAAGTAGTTAACTGAAATTGTTTTTAAAATTAAACAATAATTTATTAATGATTTCAAAGACATTTATTTTTTCAATGTTCAATTTAGCTGACTACCCCTTATGAAAATCTTTGTTCCTGGCACTTTTAAAGAAGGAATTCATTAACTGAAATTAAACCGTTTTTCAAGATAAATACCTTGAATCTACACTATTTCTGAAAGAATGAACTGAAAAATTATTTAGGTTCAAATACCCCTCCCCATCACCCACACAAATGGGATAAGCTTATAGTGGTCAGCTGGCATGACCTTTTACAAGCCCACTCCCCCCAAAAAAATGGTCCTCAGTTTCATATTTTTGTATAAGAACCTTATCAGAATTTGTGTTTCATACCGTTATGTTTTTGTTATTTGGAAAAATGGCAGATCTTTGATTGTTTCTTTTAAATTTATTCACAACTTTCATAGACTTGGTTACTTTTGTAGTTGGGTTTCTGTCTCAATAATGTTTACCCAACATCTCATGTTATTCATATATACCATATCATTTTGTTCCTCTTCTGATTCTTCATAATACACCTTATCAAAGTCAATCTTTAACCAGGCATATTTGACTTTATCTTCTGTCAACCTAGGCCATACTTCAGCTCCTTTCTTAGCTATGTGAAACTCAATTCCTCTTTCTGTTATCCTATATTTACTTTTCTGAAACATACCAGAAATTTACTACATGAATTTAAGGAATGACTGTAATATTTTTTCTGCCTATGAAGAAATAACATCAATATTACAGTCATTTCTTATAATTTAATTCTAAATTCCATTTTAAACCGGAGTAAACCATGAAAAAACGTTGATGACGTCACAGTCACATGACAAAATTATGTCTATGAGCTGATAAACAAAACAACGTCAGCCAATCAGAAGACGCTTTACATCCAAAATTAAATTATACAACAATATATGTTATATTTGTTCATAATCAATTTCTCAAAACAAATTTTCCAACATATTTGTATTTCATATAAAAATCCCTTGTTTTGTCATGATTAATATTGAACCATTAACGTAGTTTTTTCTACAATTCAGAGAAATGGTTTCCTATAAATGTCTGCAGATACAGTATCAAAATATTTGTATGACTTAGCTATAAATTGAAAATATCTATTAAAAACATTATTTTAATTTTTGGTTCTATTCATATAGAAAAGTACTGAAAATTCTTGAAACTGCTAGACCTATAACCTTTTTTTCAAGGATTTTTTTCTGAAATACAAACAAATCTGAAATTGTTGAATTTTTGTTTGTTTGTTTTTCTGTCAGTTGTGAGGAAAAATGTATTGATCGGCTTTCTGTATGTTTGGCAATTAGCTGTTTCAGAAACTAAAGCATTTTGGGTAATTTCATTGTTCGTACCCCAAAATGAAAATAACATCACGTCACAGGTTGAATTCCCATTGTTTAGGCCGTTGTAAGGCAATCACAACGTTTTGTTGTACACTTTTGAAAATATTACCATGGATACAATAGATTCTGAAACGGCAACTTAAGATATTCATCACTGTTTTTATCACAGCAATCTTAATGTTTTTAGTGTCTTTTAATTATAAATTCAATATTTCTAGGACAAATACAAATTAACAATACCTCTGGATCTATTGGAAGATAAAAGTTTAAATGGAACTGGTATCTATTTTGACCTTGAACTCCATGTCCTTCACTGCAAAAGGTCAAAGCGTCCTCTGTTATATCTACCTTTGGATCCTAAAATATGTAAACTATATTGCAAAAAAGTCAACAGTATAAAGTAGCAGAGCTAGGTTTTGCATGCAGTGCACACAGAATTGGTCAGCATGGGGCCTTTGGGGCTGCTACAAATCTGAGGAATTAGTGATTAAAAGAACAATTTTGATGTTAGAAATTTAAGTTTCTCAACAGTTCCTCTGTTCTCACATACCAGTGTTCGTCTTCAGTTTGACTGCATGAGATCAAAGCAAAGATTTGTTTTCATGCTAAATTTGAGTCAGTTACAAGACCACAGATGTTAAAGAGGAATTGTGGATAAGGTATGCAAGACGACTATGCAAGACAACAAAAACAGATACATTTATAAATATAATAATAAATATCTTTACATGAAATGAAAATATATAAAAGTGGTCTGAGTAGTCTTTCAAACTTGTCTGTGTTGCCTTCATAAGCGAGTTAATAAATTTTCTTTCCTAACTGATGTAAATTGATGGACCCAAATTTACAGAATATTCAATTTATATTATCTGGAAATTCAGGTCTTTCAAATTTCACGGAGTTTAGTTTTAAAAATTATTTTATAATCTCCCAAAGTGAAGGATCTTGGGAAATCTGAGCACCATTTAAAAAAGAAGTAGGTCAACGACATCTGGGATGAAATAGACAACTTTCATATTTATGCACTTTCCTGTAAATTTCCAATGTCACAATGCTTATTACGTCCCCGTAAAATCCGATTGTTTGATGGTGTCGTTTACAGCGATTGACCCCAGGTCAACAGGTTTATCCCATTTGAAAAAAATTTCTAGCTGTCATTTGGGTCCAGTTGAGAGCAATATTCTTTCTCAAAGTCCAGCTGAAAAAATGACTTTAACGTTATGACGTGGTAAGAAGGCATCACAGGAAAACGCTAAAGCCTTTCAAGACGTCATAATTATTTGGACTAATATCATAGCTGTCAACTGACCAGTATTCTGCGGGTTACACCCGAGAATTTCCCCCTTCACACAGGATTTCAGAAAATGACCAGTATTGTCCTGATTAAAAGATTTGCCGTTTGTAAGTCTTGTATGTTTTTTAATTTTAGTTCATTTATGTTTTGGAGTTTAGTATGATGTTTATTTTCACTGAACTAGTACACATTTTTGTTTAGGGGCCAGCTGAAGCCTGCCTCCGGTTGCAGTATTTTCTCGCTGTGTTGAAGACCCATTGGTGCCCTTCGGCTGTTTTTTGCTCTTCGGTTGGGTTTTTGTCTCTTTGACACATTCCCCATTTCCATTCTCAATTTTATCAAATATCCTGTAAAAATCATTTTAAAACAATTTGAACCTTTTAATACATTTCTGTTGGAGAGAATAATTTTGTTATCACTTAAAACAAGGAATTATTTGAATCTGGAATAATTTTGAATTCTGGAAAATTGATGAGAAATATATGATGAAAACTAACCCAACTAAATAGGGTTAGCCATGCACGCATGGCTAAGGTGGGTTAGTTAGTTCATACTGAAATGATAGTGAAAGTAAAATTAACCTTAGCCATGCACGCATGGCTAACCCTATTTAGTTGGGTTAGTTTTCATCATACATTTCTAATCAATTTTCCAGAATTCAAAATTATTCCAGATTCAAATAATTCCTTGTTTTAAATGTAAAAGCTTTAAATCAAATCCATATGCTCTAGATTTAACACTGAAAGGAAACACACTAACTTCTTTCTATTTATCTTCCTCCTCTGTATAGGAGCACATTAGCTATAATTGATTAGCTGGGGTTTATGACATTCATTAATAAAAAGAAGTAAACTAGTGTGAATAAAACAATAAAAGGGCATTGCTTTAGGAAGGTATTTAATTAATGATAAATATTTATATACAAAAGTGATTATTTTTAAGAAACTCAGTGGTACATGTATATGTTATAGTATATAAAGAAAACTTTCAATACTAAAATTGGACCAACAAAGTTCGTACACGTTATGACCTGCATTTTCAGTTTCAGAGGTTGACAGGTACATGTACAATGTATGCTAATATTGTGATTTTATATATTTTATTTGTTTGTCAAACAAATCAACTTTAATAGTTATGTTATTCAACTTGGTTGTACAGCTAATTATTGGTTGTTATGATTGAGAGCAAAAACTGTTTTCAGTGTATTTGAAATGTTGCAAAAGGTCCAAAGAGTTACTTCCCTTCTTGTTATAGTTTTAAGGTCTACAGCAGATGGAGGACATTATTCTATGTTTTCTTTCAATACAATATTGCAAGATTGAAAATAATGTCAAACATAAAAACAGGATATATTCTCATACATTAAGATAATCTCTATGGCTGTGTTTTGCACATAATACATGTGCCTTTGGAAGCATGCGATAAGCACTCTTTCCTAATGCAGTAATGGTACTGTGGGGAATTTATATTATATACCTATATATGCAATACCAGATTAGTTATATGGAGTGAAATTTAAATACTACATACAATGACTTCCCTCAAGTCCACTTTTAGTGAGACTATATCCGATTTTTGTCCCCAATAAACAAATGGGCTGAGCTTTTCACCCATTTTGGGTTTGATCTAATAACCCAAAAGTCTTTATGTAACGTAGGACAATAACTTTCTATCTAGTAAATGATTAAACATTTTTCATTTCTACCTGAGGCTATTACACAAAATATAAGTCCTAGTCTCTACATATAATTGTTCTAGTCTTAGAGTTTCAGTAATAAGTGTTACAATGGTTTTTTTTTTTACAGTATTCTATAAAACGTTTGTAATGACAACATTTAATCAGGGAAAGAAATGGAAATTTGAAATTTGTTGTATGTCAAAAAAGGCTGATAGACATATATACATTTTAGTATAAATAATATGTTTCTGGCCACAAGGTGTGGATTTTTCTGTTGAAACAGTGCTTCGATGTAATAATAATTTTCTACTGACTTATTTTTTTTCCCTTTTCAAAAAATGTTATTTAACATGTCAGAGTCAAACAATATAGAATAAGTCATTTGACTAAGTTAAGTTAACAAACCTACTGAACTTCAAGGTGTATTCTATTACATTCAACGTATATCATTTTAACTTCTATGATTAATCTATTAACTTCAAGTTACATTCTATTAAAACTAAACAAATTAACTATTTTTCACATCGTTATACTGTATATCCGGCAACAATCATGGCACGGTCATTTCGTGATAGTTGTTTACCATTCTAATATATCAATTTTACAAACACTTTGAGTGCACAACTCTGGTAAACTACGAATATATTGTATGTCAGCTGATCTACAACGTCATGATTTATTTAGGCAATTCCAATCATACTCTCACGGATTATGCTTTTTATGAGGGTAGGAATTCCCTTTACCGTCAGACGTCAAACAGTCATTTTCGGCTACCTTTAGCGTCAAATTGGTTCAAATTTTACTGTGATTCTTCAAAATGTCCTTATCGTGATTCGTCAGAGGGCTCAAATAATTATCGTTACCGTTATTTTTGGAAAAAAAATAACGTGATTCGTCAAAATCAGTCGATTTTTTTATCGTCTAAAAGAAAGTGTACATTTTAACGTCATGCACCAAAAATTACCGTTAACGTCATTTGGCAAGATTTTTTACCGTTATTCGTCATGAAGGTACCCCCATTACGACCCTGTTGTATGTTCTTTTGCATTTCAACAGGTAACCCGAATAATTCAGTCCCACCCCGTGATCGACTCTCCCACTCGTTAATGTAGCCATCGTAGAGCAGTGGAATATAACGACTGAATTATTCGGGTTATTCAACAGGAAGTAGTTTCAACCTGCAAAATTGTATCATATGGAGCGCATTAGTATTACTAATAAACCAGATGGGGGAAAAAAAGTAAAGAGAAAATCCGGGATTTTTTACTTATCTAAATATGTTCGTCATAACATAAAAAAACACATTTTCAAAGTTTTAAATTTATATTCCTTCTAATAACGGAGAAAATCAAGTATTTGTAACTTTTTTTGGTTGACATACGTCATCGGGTTTTGACGTTTTAACCCGATTTAGTGAATGCTGGGAAAAAATAATCGCTTGTCGAATTTTAGCCTGGGATCCTGTCGACGAAGTATTAGATTGGGTCGGGATGCCAGGCTAGTCGAATTTTTCCTAACCCGAATTATTCAGTCGTTATATTCCGCTGATCTACGATTACTCCATTAACACCTGAATGCATTGTAAGGAATTCCTCGCAAGTAGGGGAGAGATCGATTACGGGGAGGGACTGAATTAATCGGGTTAAATTTTCCATATCAATTTTTCCGTAATTAAAAACGCGCAGATGACCGTTTCTCGTTATAACCACAAAAGAAGAATGAAAGAAAATGAACACACGTGTAACGTTTTGCATTGATTAAATAAAACAATCTTATAGTATATATTTTCGATTTAATCTTATTTATTAATAGTTGCGATTTTTTCCGGAAATATTTATTGAATACAAACTATTTACTGTTATTGAACTGAAAATATTTTTCGTTTTTATTTACCTTCATCAGAGACATATATACACATGGTGTATGTGTATACTATATATGTCTCTGCCTTCATAATTTCATTCTGAGACTACTATAACAGTGTTATATATATATAGTAGTCTCAGTTTCATTTCAATGCAAAGTCTGTGCGAATAGAATATGTCTGTTATTTCGGAAAGGCATTGTTTATTTCTCGAATAGATGAGCATTTTGTAAAGCAATTCGTTTATTTAACATGAAGGCAATTAAGCCTCAAACGTACGCTTTTACAGGTGTGAATATGTTGTCATTTTGAATGGATTAACAGAAAGAGCCGTAATGGCGAGTTTAATACACCGAGACTAGTTGAATATCCGATGACAATGAGAAAAAAATAATAGTATGAATTCGTTGAAAATAAAATTCAAATGTTTAATTCGAGCAGTCAATAAAACTAAAAAAGGAAAAAAAATCGTTTACGTTCTCTGCAATAAACATAAAAAATTATTTACTAGATCAGGGACATATGTATGTGTATATATGACTGACTAGATATATATCTTAATTTCTGATATATTAAGCCGGTTTGTGTCAACAGTTCATTAGCACTAAACAGATGCTAAATGATTTTTTGATGAAGGTAGTTTATGGTGAAGTTTTAGTCGCATCAACTTGAAACTTAATGCATGTAGCTACAATTTATAATCAGTCCGTTCGTTTGTCCATCCCTTCGTCCGTTGGTCAGTACTTCCGTGCGTCCGTCCAGAATAAAGGTTTGATGAAGGAAGTTCAGGGTAAAGTTTAAGTCACATCAAATTGAAATTTAATAGAAAATGAAAAGATATGGAGTAAATGTACATGGGACAAAATCGCACACAATACATAGAAAACATAGAAAATTATTAATGAACAGGGCTTTTATTCCTGTTCTACATCTTGACAGTTGATGTAGGGTCTTCAACAATGAACGAATCATTTATACCCTACAACAAGGTCAAGACGGCCCCCTAGCGTCGACTTAACGGTACTATTGATAAAAGTAAACCACAGTTCACCTTCTTGCTCCCCACCCGCCTCGGAGTGCCAACTTGTGCGATGCTTGTGTACGACGGTTCTCCAGTCGAAAGCACCAGGGATGCAAGAAAAGTTCAGAAATTTTGAAAGACATCGATCGCCGCTAAAATATTAATACTTGGACATGTAGCTTATAATGTGGTCTTTTTAATGTGCATGCCAAATCAAGGTTTGATCCAGTCTTCATGGTACATTAAAAATAGAAAAAAAAGGATAGTATGAAAACAGTCCATTACAGGGTTAAAGCTTTTGGTGTAGTTTTAGGTGTGAAGTTGTATTCATATCAACTTGAAACTTAGTACACATGCCTGTTTTCTTATGGTTTCATACATGTATGTATACGGTAGATTAAAGTTTTGGTCCCATTTTTGTCGAGACTTCGACTTCTGTCGCAGAAAGCTCGACATAGTGATAGTGATCCGGCGTCGGCGGTGGCGTTAACTAACTACTTAAAAGCTTCATATTTTATAAGGTGGAAGACCTGGATGCTTCATACATTGTATATAGATGCCTTATGTTATGAAGTTTCCGTCTGTCATAATTATGTCCATTGTCCTTGACCTCATTTTCATGGTTCAGCGACTTCTTGAAAAAAAAAGAAGATTTTTTGTATAATGTTAATTTCTCTCTTAATATGAGTAAAAAGATAACTATATTTAGGATGTGCGTACCTTGCAAGGTCCTCGTGCCGGCCAGACAGTTTTCATCCGACCTCGACCTCATTTCATGGATCATGGAACAAGGTTAAGTTTTCGTGGTCAAGTGCATATCACAGATACTATACACAATGGGTCTTCTATATTTGGTGTATGGAATGATTGTTAGGTGTACATGTCCAACTGTCAGATTTCATCTGACCTTGACCTCATTTTAATGGTTCAGTGGTTAAAGTTAAGTTTTTGTGTTTTGGTCTTTTTTTTTCTAAAACTATGCAATAGGTCAACTATATTTGGTGTATGGAAATATTTTACGATGTACATGTCAGTCTGGTAGGTTTTATTTGACCTTGACCTCATTTTCATGGTTCATTGCTCAGTGTTAAGTTTTTATGTTTTGGTCTGTTTTTCTTAAACTATAAGCAATAGGTCAACTATATTTGATGTATGGAATGATTGTAAGGTGTATATGTCTGTCTGGCAGGTATCATCTGACCTTGACCTCATTTTCATGGTTCATTGTTAAGTTTTCATGGTTTAGTTTGTTTCTTAGATATTATCAGCAATATGTCAACTACATTTGATGCGTAGATTGATTGTAAGATGTACACGTCTGTCTGGCTTGGTTCATCTGACCGTGCATTTTCATGGTTGATTGGTCAATGTTACGTTTTCCTGGTTAAGTTTGTTTTTAACTATAAGCAATAGATCAACTATGTTTGGTGTATGGATTGATTGTAAGGTGTATTTCCGGTTTGGTTTATCTGACCTTGACCTCATTTTCTTGAATCATGTTACGTTTATATGATACTTGTAGTAAAGCATTTTATTTAGGACTATCAGCATAAAATCATTGGTCAGTAAACACCGTGTAGAACGCCACATGCGGGGTGTCGGCTATGTTTGACATGGGGTGGCAATTTCGAAGCGAAGAAAAACTAACAAGGTTAGTTCAAGTATCAAAATTTCTTTTTTTTTTGAAGTCTTAGTACCATATAATGTATTGCACGGAAGGAACCGAAACATAATCTATTTCCTGCAAGCATAAGCAGTCGTTTTCAGTGCTCTGTTTTCTCAAACACCTCTCCCTAGTTTTCCGTGTTGCAGATTTTGAGGCTTCATATGCAAATTTTCGGATAAAAAACTACTTTTGACAACTACCCTCCGTATCATTTATATAGAATTGAATTCCTCTCATGGAATTTTACCAAATACCAGCTTCTGAGTTAAAATTAATTGGTTTCAAAACTAATTTTTCATCAAAATATAAAGTGTCGCTCGGGGTGTCAGATTTTGCGTCTCAAGGGGAAGAGGCTTGTAATAAAAAAAGAATACATTTGCACCCAACATCACAGGTTTCGATCAAAGCACGAGATGTACCTGAACTTATTTCTAGTATGGTGGAAGTAATGACATGCAAAAGTAATCCGGACAGGTATAACTATGCATAAATAATTCATGTTTGGAGCTTACCAAACATCCGATCATAACACTTTTATTTTTTAATTGATTTTAAATTTGTTTTATATTGCAAAACAAAGTTTTATTGCATAAAGAAAAGGAAGTAAAAAACTGTATTTCTTCATCAATTAGGTTTGATACTTTAAATGTTTTGATCATATTAAATAACATCAGAGCTTCTGCATTCGCACAGCAAATTATTGCCCGGAAAGCGTGATAAATAAAAATTGAATAAGCAAAAACCCAACTTATGTTTATAAAAAAAAAGAAGATGTAATATGACCTTCAATAAGACAATTCTTCACAAGATACCAAAATGGCACATAATTAACAACTATAGATCGCCGTATGGCCTCAACAATGAGCAAAGACCATATTGCATAGACAGCTAGGAAAGACCCGAAAGGACAAGTGTAAAATAATTCAAATGAGAAAACTAACTTATGTTTATTTATATATTCATTGTAAAGATAACATTTACGTGGTACCATTTTATTCGTGTAATGATTCATGTATTTATGTTTGCAGAGGCTTTTGGATGAAAACGTCACGGTCAAGTGGCATATATCCCGACCATGAGGCGGACATGACGACACGAAAACTTTCTGACAAACAACAGACAACAACAAATGGCATTATAATTCCAAGGTAACGATTTAATTCAAGATTTTATATTTGCATAAATAATCTTTTTGAAAAAAGCGTGTTAATTTGTTGAGAAAATTGTCAATGAGAAAACGACGACTTGTACACAAATATACAATGGAACAGGTTTACAAGAAATTGTGATTCAAGACAGTTATTTCTTTCGTCTTCCGCCCAGCTAGAACTAAACGTTATCTGTTACACATTTCTCATATCATATCTACTTTGAAGGTCTACTCTGACTATCTCTAAACAAACCGGAATTGAGTCTCGGAATTGAGTACACTTTGAAGAATTTGGTGTAATCGGTGTTATTCTCGGTTGAATTTCTGTTGTTACATTTAAGTTCATATTTGTTTTCAGAGCCTTTTTGATGAAACCTTCGCAATCTAGTGGCATATATCCCGATCATGAAATAGATTAGACAGCACAGACAATTTCAGACATGCAGACAACATCAAACCAATGCATCATAACTCCGAGATAATAGATATAGTAACATCACTTAAATACTCAAATATTACATATAAAGTATATATCCATAAATTAAAACAAATATGGAATTCATCTGAATTAAGAACGTTTCTAGTAACATCAAGACTTCGTCTTTCATTTCTTTTTTAGCAATTACAAATACAATTATGCACTTGGTATGTACACCTTTTTCTGTTTCTTGTTTGGATAGTGTTCAAATATTCGGGTTGTTTTGTTTGAATTGTTTGTTTTTTTATGTTTTTATAGTTTTGTTTGAATTGTTTTTTTAGGTGGGGGGGGGGGGGGGGGGGGGGGGTGGGGGGGTCGTTTCTATTAGTTTCATTTATTTCTTATGCAATGCAGTGTTATTATTCATTTCATTACAGGGATCATGAATTTGACCTTCTAGCCAGAGGAACAAGAAAACGAAGGATTAAAATTGGAGAAATATCAGGTCCAATGGCTCCAGCTCGAGGTGCACTATCGGTTCCTCAGTACCACCGAAAGGACGAATCAAAAATTCTGCCAACAAAACGTTTGGGAATAGATCTCAAAGACATATAAGACACATACTTTGATTGAAATCATATATTTTTATTTGTAACAACTCATTCTGAGCATTATTTATAGTAACAAATAACAAAAAATATAACAAAAATGTGTTGTTTTCATTGAAAACTGATTAAGAAAAGTAAAATAATATGAATGAAATCAAAATAAAAAACATAGTTCACATCTGAATGCTACCTGCATACAGTATAATATAAATATCAATATAAATTATATTAGCAAGGGGTTATATTAGCAAGGGACAATACTCTTATTAAAGTGATTGATAGAATTGATTTTATAACTCATGAATGACATAAGGTGCTGCACAACATCCCTGGAAGATTGTTTGCAATTAGGACATTCTTTCTTTGTTTTGGTGTGTGAATCCTGGTGGCGTTTTAAAGCATAGTTGTCTTTAAAAGTCTTTTCACATATTGAACACACCAATGTATTTTGTCTATGCTTAAACCTCACATGGTTATTCAATGCCATTTTTGAATTAAAGCAAGCACCACACTCAGCACACAGGTGGGTAGTTTTTTCTGTGTGTGTCCTTCTTTTATGTTGTTTTAATAGGTCCATGGTACGGAATGTTTTTTTCACATTGCCTACAAGGATGCTCCTCTCCGTTATGTATCTTTAGGAGCTTATACGAAGGGACGACTCGTGCTTATATCTTTTTGTACACACATGACATACAAACTGTTCGCCAACCTCTTCCTCGTGGTCTATTTCAAATCCTTCTCTTTCCATTCCTTTAAAAAAAAAAGTATACGTTTAGGCATTTATGTTAAGTTTGTAATTTGTCATCATAACAGTGTAGGTGTGTTTGATTTAAAAAGTATCAGATAGAGACTGATTTATAAGCAAATGTACTCTTTTTTTATTACAAGCCTCTACTCCTTGAGACGCAAAATCTGACACCCCGAGCGACACTTTATATTTTGATGAAAAATTAGTTTTGAAACCAATTAATTTTAACTCAGAAGCTGGTATTTGGTAAAATTCCATGAGAGGAATTCAATTCTATATAAATGATACGGAGGGTAGTTGTCAAAAGTAGTTTTTTATCCGGAAATTTGCATATGAAGCCTCAAAATCTGCAACACGGAAAACTAGGGAGAGGTGTTTGAGAAAACAGAGCACTGAAAACGACTGCTTATGCTTGCAGGAAATAGATTATGTTTCGGTTCCTTCCGTGCAATACATTATATGGTACCAAGACTTCTAAAAAAAGAAATTTTGATACTTGAGCTTACTTTGTTAGTTTTTCTTCGCTTCGAAATTGCCACCCCATGTCAAACATATCCGACACCCCGCATGTGGCGTTCTACACGGTGGTAAAGCAGGCGAGACATTTCAGTGTGTGCAATCTTTTTAAATAAAGCTGGTGCTCAAGCCACGGATCTAGTAAGCTAGTATGAAATCTTAATTTTATTATGCCCGATCTGATAGTAGATGGGCATTATGTATTTCAGTTTCGGTCGATCCGTCTGTCGTGAATGGTCAAATTATAGACAATTCAATTTAAGACTTAGAACACATATTCCTTTTAATGTGGTCTTTCTAATTGGTCTTACCAAATTATACTGTTGACCCCATTTCATGGTTCACTGATAATGATGATTCTAGCAAGACATCAGTGTAATGTAGACATATTTTCTTGTTTGTTTTTTTGTGGTATTATGTATTCGATATATATGAATTGTGTCTGAGAAGCTAGCTTTATATGTTTTGGAGTGTGACGTCCATTTTCACTAAACCTGTACACAATTTTATTTAGGGTCCAGCTGAGGACCACCTCCGGGTGCGAGATTTTCTCGCTGCGTTGAAGACCCATTGGTGGCCTTCGGCTGTTATCTGCTCTTTGGTCGGGTTGTTGTCTCTTTGACATATTCCCCATTTCCATTCTCAATTTTATTCCTTTGTTTTTATTGAAAAAAAAAACGTCTTAAAAACGCATATGCTGGCTAAAATGAAATATATTTTCAAATGATATTGAAAAAACTGTGTTGCCTTTTAAATAATATGTATCTGAAACACTTATACAGTTTCTACAATAAACAAAGTACATGTCTATGGTCCAAATTGGTATCACAATTACTGTTGAATACATGTGTTGCCACGGACAGCTAATTTTGTCATTTTAATCCTAATAATATCAACATATGTTCAAAAATCACCAGCACCCTAGCAGGACCCACCAACACATTGACAGAACGCACCAGCATAGTGTCAGGGCGTGAAAAAAATGTAAAACGTGCAAATTCAAAAGATTGACACAGATTTTCACAAAACTGTTATGGCGAGTAAATTCCGATGTATAACAAACGGACTTTTAGACAATTTACTTTAATTTTCTCTGGGCCATATGATCCGATAATGAGCATTTTTGTGTTTAGTATACCTGCGCAGTTTAGACGACTTATGTTTTGGCTTGTTTTTAAACAAATAAGAGAACAAATCAAAAACATTCTACCAGTTCAATTCCATCTATACATGTACAGTAATTCAATAAAAAGTGAAAAACCATTACTTAGGCATAAATCGATTTAAGGCTTGCCATAATTAGATATAAGAAAATGTGGTATGAGTGCCAATGAGACAACTCTCCATCCAAGTCAAAATTTATAAAAATAAACCATTATAGGTCAAAGTACGGTCTTCAACACGGAGCCTTGGCTCACACCGAACAGCAAGCTATAAAGGGCCCCAAAAATTACTAATGTAAAACCATTCAAACGGGAAAACCAACGGTCTAATCTTTATAAAAAACGAGAAACAAACGTATTTATGAGGGTAGGAATGCCATTTACCGTCAGGCGTCAAACGGTCATTTTCGTCTACCGTTAGCGTCAAATTGGTTAAAATTTTACCTTGATTCGTCAAAATATCGTTATCGAGATTCGTCAGAGGTCTCAAATAATTATCGTACAACTATCGTTATTTTTGAAAAAAAAAATAACGTGATTCGTCAAAATCAGTAGAAATTACACTTAATTGCATTCACGATTCGATACCAGATCTTTCACGATCCAATCGTAATGCTTGACCACCGTTAGTTATTCTTTCACGATCATTTTTCTTGATATAACGAATGACACCCGTGATAATGTCGCGGGTTATTTGTGTACATGAATGGCATTATTGAAGTCATTTTGACATCATTACATGAGGGTAGGAATGGGGTACCCAACATGACGAATTTCGGTGAAATACCGGTATTTGTTAAGATAACGTTAACGATAAACATTTTACTCCATTTGACGGAAACGGTAGCTACAAAATAAGATTTGACTAATGACGAAAAAAATTAAAGCTCATTTGACACTAACGGTAGCGAAAAACGGGCGTCTGAAGCTTGACGATAAAGGGCATTCATACCCTCTTATACATCTCTTACAAACAACTATCCACCAAAGTTCAAATGAAGTGGATGTAAGCAATTATAGGCAACCGTACGGCCCAAACTCCCCGGCAGTTCCAGCTCCGATCCGCATACTACTCTACACTAAATTGATGGAGTAAAGGAAAATAGTTCCGGAACGGAAATAATCTCTGTACGGAGTTTGCATACGGCCTTCAACAATGAGAAAACCCATACTGTATAGTCGGCTATAAAAGGCCCCGACATGAAACTATGAAATAATTTAACTGAGAAAACAGCCATACTCATAAACAAAACAATTTACGAAAAAGAAATGTGACAGACATGAACAACAACCACTGAACTACAGGCTCCTGACCTGGGACACAAAGAATAGGGCGCGGTTAAACATGTATGTGAGCGCTCAACCCTCCTTTAATCTGAGACAGTCAGTGGTGTTACAGCATAACATAAGAAAAAAATTCGTAAGGGTTCCGCGGAACCCAGTGTGTCGCCTACTTTTGCTGTTAATCGCAGGCTCAACAAAAATGAGATGGAAAAAAAATTTAATAAAAATATTCCTCTCGATACAATTTTTTTATTGTAAGAAGCTTCTGTCCAAGTTTGGTAAAAATCCAGGATAGTTTATGAATCTAATAAATGTTTTAAAAAATTTAACTGCAGACTGTATCTAATGTTAACTGGAAGAAAAACTAAGTCCATTTATAAGTAAAATATGGATAAACAAGTACAAAATTTTAATAAAAATTTCCTTCTAGGTACTAGCTTTTGATCATAAACAAACTTCTGTCCATGTTTGGTACAAATCCTGGATAGTTTAAGAAAGTTATTAAAATTTTAAAAACTTTATCCACAGAGTGGATGTAATGTTTCCTGGCAGAAAAACTAAGTCCATTTATAAGTAAAATACGGAAAAACAGGAAATATTTTTTACAAAATTTACTTCTGGATACTATCTTATGATCATTAACAAGCTTCTGTCCAAGTTTGGTAGAAATCCAGGATAGTTTAAGAAAGTTATTAAAATTTCAAAAACTTTAACCACAGAGTGAATATTTGTGGACGCCGCCGCCGACGGAATGTAGGATCGCTATGTCTCACTTTTTTGACAAAAGTCGAAGGCTCGACAAAAACTATAAAAATCAGTTGAAAAGGGCTTCTAAACTCATCAAATCGATACAAAGCAGAAAAACATCTAACAAAACAGACCGGACGTGGAAGGGTATTTACACATCAGCCTAATGTCACCGCATAAAATATTTCTTTGTTTATTAGCGGTTCTAATATTTTAGTTTATACTGTGTTATTTCTTTGACTATATGCTATTGTTCCATGGCATATTTATACTATTTGTAACTTTCATTGTATATATGTATATATATATATATAAGTGCCTAAGAATGTAACTTTAACACACTAATGAGTGTTATAAAATTAGTTGTTATATTTTATATTATTCATGCAATATTTCGCTAAACAAATTAGCTTCATCAGGCGTGTGCATCTCTCAAGGTGAAATCGGATACATGACAAAAAAATATTTTTGTAGCTTGAACTACACAAAATTTGAGTAAAAGTTTAACAAAATTTATTGATGTTCTATAAAAAATATATGTTTGTAAATTGTCTAGAAAAATACTTTTTTTTATAGAACATCAATAAATTTTGTTAAACTTTTACTCAAATTGTGTGTAGTTCAAGCTACAAAATTATTTTTATGTCATGCATCCGATTTCACCTTGAGAGATGCACACGCCTGATGAACCTAATTTGTTTAGCGAAATATTGCGTGAATAATATAAAATATAACAACTAATTTTATAACACTCATTAGTGTGTTAAAGTTACATTCTTAGGCACTTATATAATTTAATGTAGTAACTGCATCAGTTTATTTACAA